GCGCGGAAGCCGCCCCGCGCCCGGCCTTGAGCTCACGCACGCTGCCTGCCGGCCCCCCGCTCAGCAGCGAGCGTGTTCCTCGGGGCTGCTGGCGGCCTTGCCCTGAGCGAGGACCGCTGAGGTGCTCTTGACCCACCCTGGACCGCACGTGCGCCTCGCAGACCGGGCCGGGTTCCGGGCCTGAAGGAAGATGCTGGAAAACCTAACCCCCCAGCAGCCCGAGGGGCGTCGATGTTTCCACCGTGTGGAAAGGGGGGGACGCTCCAGCTCGCCCCTGCCTCCGGGAAGTGAAGGATGCGCCAGTCTTCAGAGCAGCCCCTCAGACCTCTGCTGCTGGTCCCTGTCCCCCTGATCCCCCTGGTCCCCCTGGTCCCCCTGGTCCCCCAGGCTGAGAGCTTCACCCTCCTGACTCCAGGCTGTCCCCTCGCTCCTGAGCTGCGGGTTTGGAGAAGGGCCGTGCAGAAGCTGCCTGTGGACGGGGGAGGTTCTCCTACCCCGATACCAAGAAGGCCACTCGGGTGGCAAAATGCGCTTCCCTGGGGACCTTGCTCACCGCAGGCCACGCTCTCCCCACCCCCAGCCGCCATCACCTTCCTCACTCCCCCCAGCCCCTTCTACGGACTCAAGATGAACTCTGGTGTGCATGCTATTATCGCTGCAATTAGCATATTATTACACACACAGGTCTCCATATTAACGCAGGTTTTGTAACTGACCTATATTGTAAAGAGCTGTTCAAAAGTATTACAGACCCATCCCTGGGTGGTTCCCCGGGTTTTGACTCCGGCTTTGCAGCACCTTCTGAGTAAGGGCCAGAGCAGAGGACGGCCCCCCCAGAGGGTGCTTGGCTCAGAAGCCCGGGGAAAGGCACCTGCTCTCGGTCAGGAAGGGAGACGATGGAGGGAGTTGCCATTTCACACTGAATAGTGTTTCCCTGAGGGTAGCAGGCTCGCAGCACAGTGAGGAAGGGGCTTGGCACGGATGGGTGTAGAGAGGGGGATTCATCGGGAAGCTGTTAACCTGAGACTCAGAAGCCCCTCTGATATTTAATATGCATATGTGGAGCGAGACGCTATAGTATTTCATTGCCATGGCACCCAGCACAAACTATTTCCTGTAAAAGAGAAATATTTAAAAATAGGAGTAGGGTCACTCTGTGGTATAGGAGGAAATAAAAGATATGATATATCAGATGGAAATCTAGTTGGGCTCTCCCACAGAAAGCAACTAGCCTCCCTTTCAAAGAATGGACTTTCAAAGAAAAGATGGGCAACATTAGGTCAGCTTTCGTTTTTATAATGAATTGAGGTTTTCATATTGTGGTCTCTTGATATAAGGAAGTTGACATAATTTCATTTCCTGCAGAATTGTTCTTTCTTTGCTAAATTGCCCCACGGAAAGGCTCCCCGTGAGTAATGTTCGCGGGATCTGATACGTGGGACAGGGAGTCCAGTCTGCTTGGAAAGGTGTTCGCTGGCAAGTCACTTGGTCTTAAGTGCTCTGCCCAGGGGACTCGGGAAGGCTGATTTCTGGGTATGGAGAAACCCTCTAAAGCTTCTGTAGGAGCTGAGGCCTCAGTGATGGAGAATCTAGAGTCATCCACCCAGAGAGCAGGGACTCAGGTGGGGTGGGGTAGGCCAGGGAATCCAGGCCCAACCCCTGCTCCGCAAGTTTCATTTCCATCACTCTAAGTCTGCGAGACCTGAGCAGAATGTGCAGTTTTAAAGGAGATCCTCGGTTCAGAAATGGGCATATCCAGCCCTAAGCCGGGAACTTTGCATTTAGTGGAAAACCTTAAGTCAGACTCAGGCAGAACATGCAGCAGAAAAGCTGTGAGGGAAGGAAGCCCATGTGATTATAACGGAGGCCACTGGAGGGGAGTTGGAGGGGAGAGCGCANCAGGCAGAACATGCAGCAGAAAAGCTGTGAGGGAAGGAAGCCCATGTGATTATAACGGAGGCCACTGGAGGGGAGAGCGCGGCAGTCTCCAGCTAAGCTGCAAAGCTGGCCCCTGTCATTTTATGAACACAGAACCCAAGCAGACAGGGGAAGGACTAGGCTGTGAGCTCAAACACGAGCTCACTCTTTGAGCCCAACTGTGGGTAGAGCAGTGGAAGCAATATGATATGCTGCAGTGGGGAGCTCCTTCTGGGGGTTCTTGTATGTACAAAGTTTACCTTATAATGGCTCAAATTGTATTTAATTGTGTGTTTTTGTTTGTTTATAAATGAAGAAAAGCTATAAGTATAATGTAATTATTTTATAGGTGTCCTATTAAATTATAGAGCAAATAAAGATACTCTAGGATTATATGTGATCTTGGTGTGATGTGCCATGAAAGAGAAATTCTGAACTTGACTCAGTGGGCAGCATAGCAGCACTGTACTTTAGGACTTTTGTCCAGCCATGGTGAGTTGAACCCCTAGCCTACATCACACAATCGATGGCCTTTGGGGCCTGGCATCTTCAGAGAGAATCAAAATCAGGCATCCAAAGAGCAGAGGAGGTGGGGATGGCTCTCAGCCCTGGTCTTGGGGAGATGCCATGACTCCTAGATCCCCAAAGCTGAAGACAGACTTCTTAACCCTCTCACTGTGCTCTCTGAATAAGAAATACTGAATGAGGGGGCCTTGAAAATTGCTGCAAGTAGAAGAAGTAGAAGTCTGCTGTCAACCTCGCCTTCCCTTTAGCAGCCGGTGTACCACACTCGTTTCTTCCACAAGCCAGAACTTGTCTTGAGTTTTGTACATTTTCGCATTTTTTCACGAGTTTTGATATTTCTTAAATTTAAATACTTTAGTTTCACAGTGTCTCAGTTTCTCTACGAATTGACTTATCTGCCATTCAAGACACGACTACCAATAAAAAATGAAAACTTTAATAAAACTGCATGTGGTTGATTTACTGGATTTAAAAGGGAATTTAATTTAACTTCAAAATAACTAATTCAACTTAGTTTATCAAATGGGACCCGGCACTCCACTTAAATGAGACTGAGATACTCCAATTCACTTGCTTCTGAAGTTGGAAGATTGGTGTTTTTTTTAAATCCTTACCCAAGGACATGCTTAGAGAGGTGGGGAGGGGGGAGAGGGGGGAGAGAGGGAAAGAGAGAGACATCAATGTGAGAGAGAAATGCCAATCAGTTGCCTTTTGCAATGTGGCCCCTGATGACCGGGACCGACCTGGCTGGTAATCGAACCCACAACCCTTTGGTGCACAGGACTCCATTCAACCAACTGAGCCACTCTGGTTGGGCCAATGATTGATTTTTAAGCTATAAAGTCAATGAAAAGGAATTTGTTGCTATTGAGTGAACAGCTTAGAAAGCGTGCCTTCCCAGGGAGCTTGTTTGATGACTGACCTATCACCACTGATTATTAACGTCTGCATGGGAGAGAACCAAGAAGACTGCATCATAAGTAATATAATTAAAACTTGGTCATCGGGTCACCTTCTGAACCCTTTTCAACCCCCACGCTTGCCACTCCTTCACGCAGTCCCACAGCCACTGCTTCTCAAGAGGGAACCATGGGAACCATGCACTTTTCGTTCTTGTTGTTTGTATCCATTGGCATTTCTTGGTAGCTGGCTTCTCTAGTACTCAGCGTGGGAAACATGAGGGACAATGACAGAGCCATCCCTTGAATCCTGAGAGGCCTACCAGGTTTCCCGCCTTTTCTCCACCTCTTAGAATAGGGGTGGGGGCCTAATAACACGTCTATCAGGTTTCTGGGAGTTGGGGAGTCTCAGATCCTCAACTGCATTGACTCAGGTATTCATCCCAATTTCAAAGGGTTCTACCCCTTCCTGATTAGGACCCCAACCCTGGCACAGACGACTCCCTGGAGCTTCTCTGAAACAGCCTGCCTGACTGCAGGAGGCTAGGGCTTCATTAAATGCTGCCAGAGATCCTGTGGCTTCCACATTCTGATGGAACTGCTCATCCATGCCTCTTGGAGGTTGGTACCCAATTCCAAACTCCTGATAGCCATGCTCTCCCTCATAACTCTTAAGCACCAGCCAGGAGTCCCCCCACCAGCATCCTCTCTCAGTGAATCCCTGGGAAAACCATTAACAGTGCACTGGTACAGCGAGCCAGAGGCCGTCATGGCAACGGGCCAGTGAGTGATCTATCTCCAAATCCGTTTTTAGGGTACACCTCCTTGGACCCCTCCTGGAGCTGCCTGTCTTAGATTGGTTTCCCAAACTCTGAGACAAAGACTTGGGAGTGATCTGAGAACACAGACCTGTAAGCAAGTGAGGAAAAGAGGGTTGCGAGGTGGAAAAGCAAACTGGTTGCCACCTAGGCATCATCTGACTCTCTGGGGAGTCCTGAAGCTGGGGTGGCTTATTAGGATTGCCCCAAACTGAAGGAAGGAAGATAGGCTTTTATATCCCACGTCATCTGGCCACTGGCTTCAGGAAATCCTCAGGAGGGAGCAGGCATTTGCCTCTAGTGAGGGCAACTCTCTAGTGAGGGACCCAGCTGTGAACCATCGGCTGCCAGTCTCAGCGGGGTCAGTGGGTGGGGTGAGATCTGATGGGCACTTCAGCTC